CCGCCCGCCCGCGCGAAGGAGGGGCCGCTGGGCTCCGGCCGCTCGCGGCCCTTATGCAACCAGTGCTCTCCTGACCTAATTCCATGCCGGACCCACCCCACCCGGAGCCGCAGCCCCGGAACCGACACCTCCCGGCCGCAACCGCGGCCCGGGCCAGGCTGGACTGTAGACGCAGGCGCGGCGCAGAGCGAACACCTTGGGTTAGCCGGAGCCCGGCGGAGCCGGCGCGAGGGTGGGAATAATGCAAAGTTCCCCTCCTGGCAGGGAAGGTGCGAGCAGGTGTAAGAGGTGGCACAGGAGTGAAGAGGCAGAGGGAGAAGAGACAGGGAAACAGATGGTGACACCGAGCAAGAAACGGAGTGACAAAGGTGCGAAAGACAGAGAAACAGAGTGCCACAAACAGAAACAGAGACGCAAAAACACAGAACCTAACAAGAGACAGAAAAAGACAGAGCAACAGAGTTAGAGAGGCAGAGACACAGAGAGAAATTGATAGGGACAGAGGCAGTCAGAGACCGAACTTCAGAAACCTGGTCCGCCCCCACGGTCCCCGGCGTGCTCCTCGACCCCCGTCCACCCCCCATCCACCCCCCACCTCCCTGCAGGTTCATTGCCGGGCGGTGCTGTGGGCTCACCTAGCCTAACTGCCTCGTTGTACTTGAGCAGCGCCGCCTCCACCTGACGCTCGCGGTACAGCCGGTTGCCCTCATGCCGGAGTTGCGATGCCCGTGCCGGACCCGGGAACAACTTGCCAAGGAGACCGCTGAGCACCACGTTGACCCGCAGCGGCGGCGGCTGCCCAGCCCGCCGGGCCCCGCGCGCCCGCCCTGTGGCCACCATCAACGACGAGAGCTTGACCCCACACAGCGCACAGCGCCGGTCGGCTGCCCGCCCGCGTTCCAGGCACAGTTTACAAAAGGTGTGGCCGCAGGACAAGGACACGGGGTCTGATAGAAATCCGTGGCACTTCCGGCACTTGAAGCCGTCCCACACCTCGGTGGCCTCAGCCGCCGTTGCTACCCCTGTCTCTTCCGCCACCACCGCGCAGCTCACCGCGTTGCTCCGGTCCGCGGGTGCAGGCGCCAGCGCCTCGCCTTGCGGTACGTTCTCTGCCAGGCAGCGCACCAGCTGCTCCAGCTGCTCGGCCACCAGCTGCTGCCGCTCTGACAGCTGTCTATACACCTCGAGGGCTTCCCGGAGGCGCCCCCCGGACGCCAGGGCGTCGGCCTGCGTGAGCAAGACTTTGCACTCCGGCGTCGAGGCCCTTGCAGGCTGCTCCCGCCCCGGCTCCTGTGTCAGTAGAGGTGCGGAGCCTTCTGTAGCCGCCTCCGGATGGGAGCCGGTATCTACCGGGGCTACTGATGCCTCCGGCTCTGCCAGCTCGAAGTTGTTGCTACCAAGCTCAGCAGGCAAGCTCAGCATCTGTCCAATCTGCAATGAATCCATAGAGAGAAGAACATGCGCGGGAAGGGGCGTCTAGGGGCCTAAGACCCTGAGCAGGAAGCAGCGGCTGGAGGGAATTGGGGCTGCCACCGCGGCCGCGCTCCGCACTCCGGTCCCTGCCGCGCCACCGCGAGCTCCATGCCTGCCGCCCCGCGCCGCCTAATAACTGTCTTGTCTCAGCAAAGTGTTATATAAAACGGCACCACGTGACGCACCGCCACGCCGCTCATTGGCCGGCGGCAGGGAAATTGTTACAAAACCAGACAGTTTTGTAACAGTGTTGCGCTTGCTTCTTTTGGCCTCGCTTTTCTTGGCTTCTTGTTGAGATTGTTTGTGTTTACATTCCACCTTATTTCTCCCTGGCAATGTGGTTCCTTTTCGGAAGAGGGGGAGAGAAAAGAACCCAGCGTCTTCTCTCAGGCTCTTCCATCACCAAACCCTACCCCATCCCACCTCCAAACCCGCCAGCAAACAGGTCCCCCTGCCAGCTATTCGCTAGCGGCCCTCCCCCACCCCTCCCTGGAGAGGCCGGTACCTCGAGGAGCGCAGTCAGCCAGGTCTTTCCGGACGCCCAAGGTTCACCCTTCTGGGGGCGACAACTGCTGTCTGCGAAGGGAAGCGAGTTGGGCGCGTCCCCGGGAAGACCCCCACCCCGGTCCCGGCACTAGCCAGCGAGCCCTGGGAGCCCCGCCCCAGCTCCTCACACTCGGGGTCCCTGGCCACCTTTCCCAGGAGTCCTCCAAAAGTAGTGAATGCGGTTATTCCCAGGGCGCTTGGTCTCTCTTGCTGGGAGTGACTTGGGGCAACAGCCCGGCATGTATAGAAATTGGGCGGCGCGGGCTGAGTGGTGGAGGACCCGCCGAGAAGATGCGCTCGCCAGGTCCGTCCCGGAGGAGGCGCCCCGCGTGCCCCGCTCTTTACCTCTCTCTCCCCTAAGACCGGAACCTGCGCTGGGGCGGGCGTCGCACTGGAGACGCACCCTGCCCCTCGGGCCACTGGTTGGATGAGCACGGCCGCCAGAACTCAGCCTGCGAGGGTCATTGGGTACTCTGGAGGCGTGGGAGAACGGCAGTCGGAAAACGGGACGTGAGAGCGCTACTCTGGAGAAAGCACGCGAATTCTGGCGCACTCCAGTGGCCGGTCGAGCTGCCTCCAAGTTCGCCGCTCCGCACAAGCCGCCGGGGCTTGTTTTACAATGGCTGGGGGCTTTCGAGGGTGCCCCGCTTACTTTCAGAAGCACAATGTAAACCGTCCACACTCTGCCTCCCGCCCACCCCACACTTCGAACAGGAGCCACACGAACAACTAAACAGGCAATGCTTAGAGACCTAAAGGAATAACGCACTTCCCCCACTGTCACGCTGCGCGGAGCAGGGAGGCGGGGTCTGGGCTTGCCTCTATCTCAGTCGGTCTCCAGATCTGCGGGCTCTGGGCAGTGTCTAGAGCAATGCCTGAGGCAGAGCGCCGCCCCTGGGGCCTGAAGACCGACAATTGGCTCCTGCTGTGGCCATTTCTTAGCTGAGTGACGTTGGGCAAATGACCTAGAATGTGGGAACCATCGTTTGGGCGTCTGAACCAATGTCAGGGATGAACTTAGTTGAGATCATATTATGTTTCAGAGCTGGAGACCACAGGCTCTGTCTGAGCTTTCTGTTGCTTTATGTCGTTAATCCCTCCTTGAGTCAACAACAAGGTGACAGAGAACAGGTACTGTGCAGTCATCACTAGAGCCTCCCTCTGGTGAGACAGGACAGGGGGAGAGGGTCAGAGGGGAGAAGGGAAGCTGGCACCAAGAAAAGAAAGAGGAACTCAGGATGTAGCCAGGAAGGCATAAGGCATGCATAAGAAAACTTGGCATGCAGCCCTGGCTTGATCATAACTTGTTGTGAGACTTTGGGCAAGACCTCTGGGGAAGCCTTAGTTTCTCTTAATCTCCAAAATTCCCTCCACTTCTAACCTGGAGTGGCTTCTACCCTAAGACAAAATGTAATGATACTGACTCAACTAAATACAAAGACTAGTCCAGATACCGTGGGCAGGGGCTGGGACAGGGGGTGAAGTCTGCAGGAGAAGTGCAAGGGCAGGGCTGGCTAGCCGGCTGTCAGGCCTGAGCTAGGTTTTGAAGATCGGTAAGTCAGGGGACTGGCCAAGGGGTGGAGCAGATGGCTGTGTTGGGAAGTTGGGGAGAAGCTGAGGCTCCTGGTGACTTGCTATCTAAAGCAAGCGCCTTTCATCCTTCAGTTTCTCCTGTTGTTGAATGGGTTCTGTCTTAGTACATTCAGGCTGCTATAACAAAATACCATAGACTAGGTGGCTTGTGAAAAAACAGAAATTTATTTCTCAGAGGAATTTATTTCTGGAGGCTGGGAAATGCGAGATCAAGGCTCTGGCAGACTTAGTGTCTGGTCTGAACCTGCTTCCTGGTTCACAGATGGCTGTCTTTTTGCTGTAACCTCATATGGCAGAAAGGGGCAAGGGATGTCTCTGGGGTCTCTTTTATAAAGACACAAATGTCATTTATAAGGGAGCCCTCATGACCAAATCAGCTCCCAAAAGTCCCATTTGCAAATAATATCACATTGGGAATTAGATTTCAACTTACAAATTTTTTTGGAGGGGGAGCACATTCAGTCTATAGCAGAGTCCCTATTATTATCTGCATGTCTCTTCTGGCACCTGTAAGGAGGAACAGTCTGTGGCACTCAGTGGCAAAGAGATTTATCTGAAAGGGCCATAAGATGGATAATGATGAAAACTTCTTAATTAAACAGCTTTATCCATGTGACAAGTTTTAAAAAATAGATGTCAGTTACCCAAAATTGTCTTCCAGATGCAGATCTGGGATGCACCTTTCTCCTTGGACCACCTTGACAAGTATGCATCCCCTGGGTTGGTTTCCCTCCCTTGCCAGTCAGGGGTGGAGAAGCAAGGAGAAGGCCAAGTCAGGCAGTGGGTCTCAGTCCTGCAAGCATGGTGTAGAGATACTTTAGCAGCTGCGTGTGTCCAAAGCTGACCATGAACTTGGTCAGGAATGTTAACAGCTGCTAGCCAGGGTGATGCAGGGTGCACTGTGGAAAGGCAGCAGCATCTACTCACTGAATAGACTTCACAAGAGTTTTACATTGTATTTTCAAATCGGGACTGCTCAGAAGATTCTACCAGGGACGGCCGGTTAGCTCAGTTGGTTAGAGTGCAGTGCTCATAACACCAAGGATGCCGGTTCGATCCCTGCATGGGCCACTGAGCTGTGCTCTCCACAACTAGATTGAAAACAACTACCTGACTTACTACCTGACTTGGAGCTGATGGGTCCTGGAAAAACACACTGTTCCCCAATTTAAAAAAAAAAGATAACACCAAATGGGTTTCTACCGAATACTGAAAAACATTACCACATTGATTTTCTTTCCTTCTTTATTTAAAGTAAACAAACATTACATTGATCTGTGGACCAACTCAGAAGTCCTCTACTCAAAACTTCCTCCCCTCCACCCTTACTAGTTGGAGCTCTGCAGAAGGAGGGGAGAGGAAAGATTGACAACACTTTTTCAGATGGAAATATTCCCTTTGGAGGACCAGATTCTTCAAATCTCCACTTATTTTGGCAGGATCCCCGTGGCTAAGGTTTATCAGGAAAAAGAGCAAGACTTGATCTGTATCTCCTTTCCAACTGACTGCAGTAAGTGTTCTAACTGGTCTCTGTGGCCCAGAGGAGACAGCAGGCAGCCTTACATCCACCTGTTTCACTGAAGAAAGGCTTTCCGCTCTTTAAAAGAAAAAGTTTGAAAACCATGGCATTTTTCACCTATTTTGATGCATTTGTTGAGCATCTTCTATGTACCAGGCACTGTTCTAGGTGCTGGAGATGTGTCAAAGAAGCACTTGGCTCCCAGATCCTCCCTCATGTATAGTAGCACATCTTTTCCCCACACGTTCTTGTCCCCACTTCCCAGGCAGACTAGAAGTTCTGTGAGGGCAAGGATTCGTGTCTTGTCTTTCATCTTCTCCTCAGAGAACAGTTTTTGAACAGATCATACTGAATATGGCATTCTGGCCCTGGATGGGAGTGTGCAGAGGAACAAGAGGAAACCCAGTTGGAATGTTATACCTTTGCCCTGCATCATTCATAGAGGAGAGAGGGGGCATGTAGATTATTAAGTGTTGACAATCCTAGACTTGGGAAGGACTGCTGAATAGCTCTGGGATGGAAGAATCCAGTCAAAGTCAAGGGCCTGGGGTGAGGAGTGAGCTTCCCATACACACATGGACACACGCTATGCATGGAAGCTTGGCCAAAGCATTTATTTACTCTTTGCTTGAGTTTCTCATTTTATAAACTGGGGATGACCCATCAATTGGGAAGTACTAATAGGAAAAAATAGGTATTGTGGGCCTTAATGACACTAACATGGAAAAGGCTGCCCCTTGCTATCTAGAGTAGCCCAAAGCCAGAGCTAAAAAAACCTTTACAGATCAGCCCTGGTTTCACCAATGAGGGAATTAAAGGCTAGAGAAAGCAAGTGATTTGCTGCAAGTCACAATGGGAGTTTATTACACAGCCAGGATTGGAAGCTAAGGCTCCTGCCTCTTCATTTAAAGTTCCTTCCATGTGATCAGAAAGCTTCCAAAGGACACAGAGCACCTCCCATAATAAGTAAGAAATTATTCCAGAGTTTCCTAATCAGAGGATTTGCAAGTCAACAAATATTGATTGAGCACATACTATGTGCTACCGGAGCTGACATTTGTAGGGCAATAAGAGAAGGGTTCTTATTCTCCAGTAGCTAACTGAGGACACAAGAGGCAAAGGTGTGAAAGAGTTAAGTGAAAATAATAGGCAATATGTGAGAAGTACCAAAACTGGGAAACAGTGAATCCAAGGAAGAGCGCAGAGGAGACAGGTTACAATGCGTTCCATCTCATAGAGAAGGTGCCTTTCAACTAAGTTGGAGAGGATTTAAATAGAAAAGTTAAAGACCACCCCACTGCTCAACTCACAGGGGTTCCCTTCACATTGGGGGCTATGTCCAGGAGAAAAGAGGAAAAATCCAAGGAAGCTGGGCTGGTCAAGGCCCAGGAATTTGTATTTTTTCAGGTTATCCATGTGATTATGCTGTTCTGCCAGGTTTGGTGTTCACCAGTGTAAAGAATAATGCAGAATAGATTGGATAAGTGCACCCAATCCTTCTCTCCCTAGCTCATCCAGTTTCTCTGGGCGTGGGCATCAATAATTCTTGTCCGTATTTTACTGAAGGGAAAACTGAGAGTCCAGAGACTTTCAATATTGTGTTCATGGTCATTCAGCAAAAATTGAGGACTCTGGTTTCCTGCCAACCAGGAAAAGCAGAAAGATTAGATGATACCATCCCAAGAAAGATTTTGCTTCATTTCTCCACAAGACAAGTCAGACCCGCTTGATTAGCCAGAGAGTTTGTTGCCCAGAGTACAAAAACAGCAAGTCTCTGGAGCTGCCAGGTATGTGGGACAGAGCCCAGGGCGAGGTTAGTCGCTGGGAGCTCGGGGTTCTAACTTTGCTGTGTGACTCAGCCCAAGTCATTTCCCCTCTCTCTTTGTCTGTCCTTCGTCTACTAATAATGATGCCCGACGTCACTGTTGGGATTAGCTACCAATGATGGAAAATGCACAATGCAATTAGTCCCGATGTGATTCCTGGGAACAGAAGGGATCCACAGCCATCTGCTGACTGTTGTGAGTAAAGTATGTGCTGGCTGCCATCCGCGTACAGGCATTTTCTTCCCAGGAGGGGAATGAACTGCTGGCCTGAAGCTGGGCCCGCTTTAGAGATACCGGCAGAGAGCCATCTCTTCTTAGGATGTAAAAGAAATAAAAGGCAGGTTACCTGGAGGGAAAGCAGCAAACATTCATCAGAAGGAAATTATTGAAGATTTTGACAAAACTGGGAAATGGTTAAAATCTTGGATCTTTTATAAATTGTGGTAAAATATACAAAACATAAAATTTACCATTTAACCATTTTTAGGTGTATGGTTTAGTGGTATTAAGTATAGTCACATTATTATGCAACAACTATCACCATCCATCTCCAGAACTTTTTTTCATCTTGCAAAACCAAAAGTCTGTACCCATTAAACAACAGCTTCCCTTTTTCCCCTTCCTCCGGTCCCTGGCAACCACCATTCTCCTTTCTGTCTCTATGAATTTGAAAACTCTAGGTACCTCAAATAAGTGGAATTATACAGCATTTGTCTTTTTTGTGACTGACTTATTTCACTTAGTATAATGTCCTTAATATTCATTCATGTTGAAGCATGTGTCAGAATTTCCTTCCTTATAAAGGCTGAATAATATCCCATTGTATGTATGTATATGTATATACATTTTGCTTATCCATTCATCCATCAATGGACACTTGGTTTGCTTCCACATGTTGGCTATTGTAAATAATACTGATATAAACATGAGTACAAATATCTGTTCCAAACTCTGCTTTCATTTCTCTTGGGTATACACCCAGAAACAGAATTGCTGGATTGGATTGTAATTCCATTTTTTATTTTTTGAGGAACTGCCATACAGTTTTCCCCAGTGGCTGCACCATTTTACATTCTTACCAGCAATTCATAAGGGTTTCAATTTCTCCATATCATCACCAACACTTGTTCTTTTCTGTTGTATTCTTTTTATAATAGCCATCCTAATTGGTATGAGGTGGTATTGATTTGCATTTCCCTAATGATTAGTGATGTTCAACATCTTTCTATGTGTATATCGACCATTTGTGTATTTTCTTTTAGAGAATATCTATTCAAGTCTTCTGTCCATTTTTAACCAGGTTGTTTGGTTTTCTGTTTTTGAGTTTTAAGAGTTCTCTATATATGCTGGATATTAATCCCTTATTAGATAAGTAATTTGCAAATATTTTCTCCCATTCTGTGAGGTACTATTCACTTTATTAATGGTGCCCTTATCTGAAGACTTTGGCAGAACTGGGAAAAGGTTAGAATCAAGGTCGAGATCTTGAACTCAAAGTATCTGGATTCAAAATAGGGCTGTTTGATGTTGGACAAGCTACTTAATCTCTTTGATCCTGCCTTAGTTTTTTTATCTGAAAAATGGGAATGATGCTTATAATAGGACCTACCTCATAAGATTGCCATGATGATGAGTAAATGAGATCATATATCTAAAATCTTACCACCGAACCTGGGCCAATTTAAATGTTCAGTAAGTGGAAGCCTTTATTAGTATTGGGCTTAAGAAGGAACCAGAATGATGTAATTGAAATGTGATGCTAGTTATCAAATGGGTGAGTAGACCAATACTATTTAATAACCAACTGGAACACAGTAATATTACATAACGCCTAACACTTGTGTAGCAAGTTGCAGTTTATAAAGCATTTAAACATTCATCATTCATTCAACATGAGTAAGACACAGTCCTGCAAAACTGAGTGGGAGAAACCAAAAAAGGAAAAGGCAGTTTCAATCAGGGTGATGAGAGCTAAGAAGACAGAAGCATAGGGTGCTGGGAGGGGCACAGCAGAGGAGCAGTTCAAACTGGGGGAGGGCCTCCCGGGTGGGTAATACAGACAGAATTCTTCAGGATTACAGGGTTACAAGGAGGAAAGAGGGCATTGGAAGAGGCTGAGCATTCTAGGTAGAGAAACAAGACATTGCAAAGGCTGGAGTTGAGAGAGGTTGGCTGGCTGGGAAACAGCTACTACGTAGTTTATTTTGGATGCAGCCTAGAATTTAAGAGGAGCAGTGTGAGATGAGCCTAAAGAGGCAGACAGGTGCCTGACCATGAAGGGTCTTGTAGGGAGTCGGGATTTTATCCTGAGAGTAATAAGAAGCTATTGAATAGTTTTAAGCAGATTTGTAATTTGACCGGGTTTACCTTTTAGAAAGATTTCTTTGGCTGCAATATGGAGAGTGGAATGAAAAGGAGACAGCCTGGAAGAGACCAGGAAAGATGAACTAAAGAAAGAAGAATAAGGATAGAGAGAAATGGAGGGTTCAAAAGACATTTAGGATAAAACAAAGCAGGTATGGGGACTGACTGGCTGACCTCAGTTGCTCTTTGGGGTTAATTCAGGTATTAGCATCAATTTTTCGTTTGAGATGAGTAACGTAGGCTGAAGAAGGTTGAAAGATTTGTACAAGGTACCAACAGCTAGAAAGAATCCAGTCAAGATTCTGACTTTCCACCCTGACATCTACTGTTCTTTCCTCCAGAAAATGCTATTAGATGAGTTTCTAGATCTTTATATGTAAATCCCCTTTAAGGAACTCAAGTCCCATTTCCCCTTCAATTGCTTTGCAGCATATTACAATTTCAGAGGTACTTTTTCTGAGTTTTTATTGGTTGTCAACATATTACAGCTTTGTACCCTTGGGCTTAAAGACATCCCTTTCCTTGTATTTTACTTCGTATTTAAAGAGTAGCCTGGACGCAAGCCCTTCCATCTCACGGAGGCTCAGATGATGAGTCTAGGGTTCAGAAAAAGTGGGCCCAAGTCCTAGGCTTGGCCACTAGTTAGCTGTGGGATAGAATGAGTCCCTTTCTTTCTATAAACTCCTGTCTGTAAACCCAGAGGAACAGAACCAATGCATACTCACTCAAACCCAGTAACTCTATGAATCTCTTCTAAAATAAGTATAACTTCAAATTGTGAATAACCATTCTTTATGGTCTGTTTGGTAAATTGGGTTTCTGACACCATAATACACTCATAGATGTTAGGAATTTTCTTTGAAACTCTACTGTTGGCTCATCAGGGAGTATGCTCCTGTTCTGTAATTGCTGAGTGTGGTATTTTCAGACTTAAACTGTCAACCAAGATGCATGGTTATGTTTAGTTTTTTCTCAGACATTTGTACTGCTAACATGTACTGAATATATATATATATATATATATATATATATAATTTTTGGTTGGGGGATTGCAATTCACTGAGCTATAAAACTAGCAGGACAGGAAAAATGAAGGCATCAATGAGATGATGAAGGAGAAGTATTTCTATGAATGGCAAGGCCCTGCACAAGAAGAGGGTGATACAGCAACATTATTCTTGCTTCAAACCCCACAAGCAAGGTGAGCCTGTAAGTGCAAAGGGGCCTTTGTAGGTGCCAGCTCACCCAGGATCAGGGCCCAGCAGGGCTGCATTTCCCTCTCAACATAAAAGATGGAGCCCTGACATTCCACCCCACTCTGAGGGAGCTGGGGTCCAGGTCACAGGGCCTTGCAGTGAGCCCCTTGAGACATGAGAGCCAATGTCAAGTCCTGAGAGACCGGGCCTCCTGGCAGTCCCCTGCCCCTCCTGTGGCTTCCGTGAACAGCAGAATGTGTTTGACTTGAGGACCCCATGCTCTTGACCCCAGGGCTTTCAGCTCCTGTAGGGACGATGGCACCCCTGTGTGCCTGCTTCTCGTTGGGGAGCACCCACAGCCCGGTCTGGCTGTAACACGGTGGACAGAGGCCAGCAACAGGCCAAGTCACTCCCTGTGTGTGTGGAGGGGGCGGGAGAGGGTCTCACCTGGGGGGTGCAATCCCTCAGCATCCCAGGCATCCCAGCATCACAAGCATCACAATCAGTCACAAGAGCAGAAACCTCATGTGGGGCCAAGCAGAGGATCCAGAGAGAGAAAGGAGGAGCAGATGGGAAGGTCCTTTGTGGACAGGCAGGTGGAAGAGGAACACCAGATCTGGGTTACCCCCCTACAAAGGCCTGTGCTTTTGTAGAGAAGCTAAACAATGTCCACACATATCACTGTAATTCAGTGGGAGTGTGGGGGAGCAGATTCAGAAAAGAAGGCTTAGCAAAGGCGGTGAGTTGGGGACCAGGCTGTAAAGGAAAGCTCTGGGTTAGTCTTTGCGGAGTGCCCCAAGCCACACCGACGTTAAATTCAAACCTCTTCAAGTTGTTTTGGCCTTGAGTCCTTTCTCCTGATGACAGGTCTACAAAGGGAAAGGACTTGTCCACTTCTGTTCACTGACAGAGGGAGTGGGGTGGAGAAGAGCACCTTTCCTTAAGGGAATCTGTCGTCATTGTCCCAAGTGTATTCTCCTCTTGACCATGAACTAGGGTAAGCCATGAGTTTTAGGCACCTGTGAATCCCCAGCCCCTAGCAAAATTCCAGTATATAGTAGGTGCTCAATACATGCTCAGTAAATAATTGAATGACAAGTGCCTGAAATATTTATCTGTGACTTCAAATGGACCCCCAGCTTTCCATAACCTGGGAAGACACTTGTTTTCCTATGACAAACTGTCTACCTGGGAGCATTTGATTTTGCAGTGTGAAAGGAGCTGCCATATTAGTCATCCCCACAACACAGGACTGTCATCAAATCCCCCAGGTCTGCCCTCTGACCAGGACAATATCCCCTTTCTTCCCACACCCCAAGACTCAGGCTTTCCTTACAGCCAAGGGCCCTCTGAAGCCGCGTGTGCATTTTAACCAATGCCCTGTGGAGACAATATACTTCCTTTACTGCCCTGTCCAATCAGAAGATGCTGCCATCTTTTGAAGCCCCAGTGCCCTCTCCTCTCAGAAGTCTTTCCTGAGAAAAGCTATGAATACCCTCCTGACCTTCTGGGATACACAATTGAGTGAGTCATTTACTATATTACAATTAAACATACTTGTGCCACAGAGATGTTTCTTTTTTTTTTAATTAAAGTTTACTGGGGTGACAACTGTTAGCAAAGTTACATAGATTTCAGGTGGTCAATTGTGTAATACATCTTCTATATATCCCATTGTGTGTTCACCACCCAAAGTCAGTTCTCCTTCCATCACCATATATTTGATCCCCTTTACCCTCATCTACCACCCCCCTCCCCCCTTACCCTCTGGTAACCACTAAACTAC